GGGGGCTGGAAAGGGAGGGGAGCAAGGCTGGTGAGGTGTCTGTGCATCACACACGTGTGTACAAGCACACAAATGTGCTCATGTGCATATGCATAGAGGTACACGTGCTGGAGAAGGGGGTGTGAGCATGCAGCTATCCATTATGTACAGATGTGGCCACTTGCACAGTATCTGCAACTGACCGTGCAAGTGTGGACAATCACGTGGCTGTGTACAAGCAAACACACATGCTAGCCACTGTTTGTGTTCATGTGGCCAAGCGGGGAGTGTGCCTGTGTCCCATCCCACCCGAGTGCGCACACTGTCACCACATCTGGGCATATGAGGAAGGGGAGGTTTTCCAGGTGTTGCAACCACGCACAGATGCATGTGCACACGCGCCTACACAAGCAGGTAGGTTTGCACATGAGCAAGTTCCCGCAGACAGGAGCTCACACGTGTCTGAGCAGGCAGCGAACATGAGCGTGCCCACATGTGGGCACCGTCTGCATGCCACCCTGCAGGCACTGCCCCATCACTCACCACCCCCTCTTCAGCAGGCGCGTTGTCTCCGACCACCAACATCACAGGGCAGCTGGAGGAGGAAGGAGCACAGTCAGGGTTAGGCCTGGGTGGGCTCCACTGCCCTGGGACTCCCCATGCTACGCCGACACAACTCTTACCGCAGCGTCTTGGCGTTGGGCACAGTCCCAGGCCGGTTGATGTCCAGATCCCTGCGGCTGATGGAGGAGAAAGAGGGCCAGCGTGAGCCCATGGGCAGGTGCTGCCACCAAAGCCACAGCACAAGAGCCGGGGCACAGCTAACTCCGGCAGCCGCACCCAGCTTCGCTGTCACAGCACCCTGCGGACGGAGGACCCCACGGCCATCTCTGCCATGACCTCGGCAGAGCCGGTGCCACGGGATGCAGCACCCAGCGGAGCAGCAAGCCTCCCCACCCCCTGCACGAGGGGATGGCATCTCTGCCCCCTTCCCCAGGCCTGTGCCAGCACCCAGAGCAGGAGGACTACCAGGGCGTGTGCATCCACGGCCATGGGCTCTGGGACATGGCAAGACTCCTGCACAGGTACCACCACTCCCGCATCCCTAGCCAGCACCAGCAGCCAGCTTTGCACCACTGCCTGCCTGCACCTGAGGGTGATGGCAGCACCCAACAGTGGTTAGGGTTCCTATGGTGCCCTCAGGGTCACCCAACATCACTGCAGCCCCTTGCCTTGGCACAGATAGGGGAGCAGCCTGCTGGCAAGGCCACCCGGGGTGCTCACCTGTTGTACATGTTGAGAAAGAGCTGGAGGTTGAACTGGTTCACCACACTGCCAATCTGCTGCCGGTAACTCTGCACCAGCTCCGTGTTGTTCACCAGCTCTTCCTGTGCCGACAAGGGATGGACATCAGGGCTGGTGCTGCTGGGTGCCATGGAGACACCCCCACTCCCCCAGACCTGTGCCCACCGTGCCAGCCAGTGGAGCAGAGCAGGAGGCTGCTAGGCAATGAGGCTGGGCATGGCACAGGCAGCACACCCAGGTAGGACGTGGGCACAAGTTGCACGCTTGTCAAGGTTAAGCCCCGGATCAGGCAGGAGGGATGCCAGCAGGACCTGACTAACCCCATCTGCAGGTGAGGGGAAGGTCTAGCAGCACTGGGGCACTCAGCAGGCAGGGCAGGGTGCAGCCTGGGTGAGCCGGCTGCGATACTGGGGAGGGGTCTGGTGGCAGGGGGCCAGCAGGATGGGCAGCCCTTACCTGGCTGAATAGATGGGACAGGACAGTGTCCGGCAGTGTGCTGGTGAGGCCGGAGAGCTGTGGAGGGAGCACAGGGAGTTACAGCACTGCCACAGCCAGCTCCAGCCCCAAGGAGCAGCCAGGGCAGGGAGAGGGGGTCAGGGCCCGGCTCACCTTGGCAGCTGCCCAGTCAATCCAGCCTTTGCCATTGGGGTCGATGTTCATGAGGACCAGTCCTTCGACCAGGTCGGGGAAGATGAGCTGCAGTGAGCAAGAGAGGCAACACTCAGCGGAAAGGGGAGAGCACCCAGGGTAGTCCCCCACCAGCACCACTTCTCGCGGCACAGGCATTGCACGGGGCTGACGCGGACCTGTCCCAGCAGTAACGGGAGACCTGTGGCAAGACCACCCAGCCATCACAGCCATGGCACTGCCACTGCCATCCCAGCCTCCCCATCCCTCCAGGAGCTTTCAGTGGCAGTCTGCCCAGCTGTGTCGGCTCCTGCTCCTCTCCACACCCCAGGCTGACAGCAGGTACAGGCAACTCAGGGCCAGCCCATCCCAGCCTCAGACTCACAGCAAACTTGGCCAGCACGTAGGCTCCTGCCCCAACACCGATCCCAATCACGTACTTGAACCTGGAAAGCAGAGAGGTGCATATGGGGGGATGGCAGGCTCCAGCGTGAGTTCCCTGGGGTGCCCTTCCAGCCATAGCATGGGGCACAAGAAGACATGCAGGGTGACATCTTACTGGGACAATTTCCCCAGCCCCAAACTCATGTCTCCTGCCCATCTCCCTGACCAGCACCCTCAGCTGGAAGCCGTGGAGAAGAGGCTGACTCACCCGAAATGCTGCACCACACTGGGTAACATGGCAGCCAGCTGGTCCATGGATGGGTACTGGTACCTGCAGCACAGGGAGGCACAGGATGGCGGTTATGGGACCCGCACAGAGCAGGAAGGCTGGGACAGGGCAGCTGGGCTGCCCAAAGGGGCCAGGCAAATGCCACCACCCACAAATCATTCCACTGCCCACTGTGGGCCAGTCAGGCTACGGGCTTTGACACAGTCCAGAGAGACCTGCAGGCAGGGCACACCTGCCCAGGCAGCAACAACCCAGTGGGCAGGGAGGTGACATCCTGCAGGCATAGCGAGCCCCCAAAGATGGCACTTACCCCTGAGGGAACTGCGAGGCTCCTGCCTGCTGGCCTGGCGCGTCCACATGGCACACCACAAAGTGCTTCGTGATCTCCTGCATGTCCTCGTAGTTGAAGAAGGTGTTGAAGCAAAGCTTGTCTGTCAAAGGGCGGGCAGGCAGGGATCAGAGGCTACATGCCCCAGCACAGGGGCCTAGCAGGCCAGGGGAGCATGGAGAGAGGTTGCCTGCCCTCCCACTGCCCTCCAACTGGGAGGTGACATGACACCAAAGCCCTCCCATCCCCTTCCCTCCAGGCAACTCACCCCACAGCAGAGACCACAGCCACTGTCAGCATGGGCTGCATCCCTACTGGTGTTGGGAAGCATGGGGATGGGCAGATGTAGCCAGAAGGATGAGGGTTTTGGGGTGAGACTCATCTGCTTGGAGGGATGGGACTCAGGGAAGCAAAGCCCAGAGCTTTAGGACCACCCAGCGGGCATTGGGATTAGCAGCCTGGGGTATTATCAGCCCCATCCAAAGTCTCCAGAAAGGGCTCAAGTAAACATGGGATTTGAGAAATGACTGCAAATCTCCCTGCTTGGAAACAGTCAAAGAAATAGCCCCAGTGCTGCTGTGGACAGGCCACCACTGTTGCAGAGGGATAGAGCAGTTGCTGGGGCTTGGAGGGGTCCTGCCCCATGGCATCAGTGATGGGACATCCCTCCCAAAACACAGGGGTAAGGCAGGTTGTAAGGTCCATCACAGCCAACATGACACATCCCTGGAGACAAGAGCGCTGCTGTGGTGGTGAGCAGCTCACCCAGCATGATGGTGACTCAGCCCCAGCTGCCAGTGGAGGCGAGATGCTTCTCCCTGCTCACAGAGCATCACAGCTCAACCGGGGGACACAGCCCGGGGCAGGGGTCTGGGGTGCAGGTCCAAGGCTGCAGGCTAACAGAGTGCAGCATCTCCACATGCAGAACCCCGGCTCAGGGTCCCTCCTTCCCAGCTATTCCACGTCTCCTTCAGCCCCCACTGCAGCCTGCCGCCAGCCATGCTCGTGCTCTGAATACCAAAGGGGCAGCAGCGGCAGAGACCAACCCAGCATCCCCCATGCCCGCCCTTGCCTGGTCTGGGCAGGCAGACAGCCAACGCCTGGGTGGCCAAGCCCTCCTGGCTGTGCCTGGCCGTGCCTGGCCTGGGCTTTAGGTTCAGCTGAGCAGCCAACCCTCTTGGTGCTTTCAGATGCCTGAGAAGACCCAAAGCAGCCCGGGGACCGTCCATGGCAGGAGGCAAAGAAGCAGAGCCAGAGCCTTTGGCCAAGGACCCAGCACACGGTGTGGCCCCAGGTTTGCTCCCGCCTGCCCCTGCGCCCCATGGCCAAGGGACCAGCACTCACGGTTCAGGCCCACATCATGGTACGTCAGGATGGCCGGGCGATTCCCCTTGGGTGAGCCCCGGATGACCACGTGCAGAAGACCGTAGGGGGTCTCAATGTCATGTTCCTGGGGCAAGAGGAGAGATGGGGTGATGCCTGCCTGCCCCAAAAACACATCTCCTGCTCTGTCATCCCACCCTTCACCACTGCCTCCCCAGGGGCTGGGTCCCATGGGAACACAAGGGAAAGAGAAGCAGCCATCTGGGAAAGCCCCCAGCTCTGGGCATCTTGGAGGTGGCAGAAGGCAGGACAAGTCACATAGACATGGTCCAGCCTCTACCAATGGGAGGGGAGGGGAGGGGAG